CCCCCCAGGCCCTGCTTTCTTCCAATCACCGACAGTGCTTGATACATGCCCTGGTGGGGGAAGGGGGGGGTGGGGCTCAGTTACCAAAACAACTTCCAAGGCCCACTAACACATTTCTGCCTTTAGAGTTTACGAGGACCCTTTAACACAAGTGACCATGGGCTCTTTAAGTTCATCCCTTCCACTTTTCTGAGAGTTTAGCTGCCAGGACAACAAGCCCCATCGAGACCCAGAGCCAGGATGAGGCTCTTCAGTTTTCGTGGTGATTGTTTTCCTTCCCCTAACCCCTCATCTCTCAAGGTAGAAGAAACAGGACTGGGGTCAGGGAATGTGGTGGGACTCAGGAAGAGAGAACAAGGGATATGTGTGTGTAAAACATGTCAGTGTTTTGCAAGATGAATTGGTCACATAATGAGGAAGAGACTCAGTGGCTGGACTTAATAAGGAAGGGTCAGGAGCTGATTCTGGAGAGTTGTGAAGGGAGAGGCAATCAGAGCTGGAGGTGTCGGGAAGGGAAAGCAGAAAGCCCTTGACTGAGAATGGACAGGGACAGTGGGGATGTGTGGGTACTGAATCCCTCACCTGATGCTTATATTGATGCCCAACTGCAATCTCAGAGGCTGATTGTGCCTGTAGATGTGTCTTCACCTGGGAGAAAGGGTGTGGTGTTACTTGCCTAAGGCCCAGGCACCCTTCCCCCTACCTTCTTCAGTTACCCAGGTGCTTAGCCCCTAGTCTCTCCTATAAGAGTAGCTAAGAAAGCAAATCCTTTAATCTGATAATTATTGTTATTTCTACAAAATAAATTGGGCATGGGACTCTGCGTTTCTTGGCTTCAGTCCCAGAAGATCTCCTAGCACTAACTATACCTACCTGGTCCCTTTGGAGTGGGGAATATAATCACTACCTATGTTTACTAAGGTACTGGGAAGACATCAAGCTAAGTAAAACCCAAGGATCCAGACCTTAGCTCCTGATGGCCTTAGGGACTTAGAGGGCCAGCTTCTCTAGCAGACTGTGGGGCAAGTTGGTAGGCTCCTTGTGATAATGTTTATAGTTTGCCCCCTGGATGCTATGCTCAGCACTGTAGAGATATCCACACAAACACAGGAGTCAAATGCAAATTTCCTTTTTCCCAAGAAAGCCTTTACTGAACTGAGAATCGGAAGATTTATGTCTATAGAAGACCCTTAAGGATGGAGAACCTTTGACCTTAAGGCCACATGTGGTCCTCTAGGTCCTCACGTTCGGCCCTTTGACTGAATCCAAATTTTATAGAACAAATCTCCTTAATAAAAGGATTTGTTCTGTAAAACTTGCACTCAGTCAAAAGGCCACATCCAAGGACTTAGAAGGCCACAAGTGGCCTGGGGGCTGCAGGTTTCCCATCGCTGTTAAGTTCATTAACCTATCTTTTGATCACTTTCATCTGTGATCACTTTGATCTTCCTAGACCTTACAAAGCCTCCCAAGACCTTTTTGTACACTCTCAATCTAGTAGAAAGGATCTCCCTCAGCTGGTCAATCCTTACCATGTAGATGGGGCTCCCTATGTAGGCACCCGTAACTCCAGCAAGGGCCCCGGCAACAGCACTACGGCCAGGGCTGTGGTTCCCATTGGAGTCAAGGAGATAACCCCCAGCTTCGGCCAGCCCATAAGTCCCCAGCCTTATCCCATTCATTAAGAACTGGTATACTAAGGCAGGGGCCAGGCCCTTCTGCAGGGCAGCCAACCCATCTACTCGCCCAATGGTGAAGAAGGCATGGAAGACATTTCGGTAGTGTCGCTGGTAAGAGCCTGGTGCCTGGAGCTCACCCTGCAACTGCATTCGGGTTTTCACCACCTCCAAAGGGTTGGTGAACACACAGGCTCCACAGGCAGCCAGGCCACTCAGCAGGAAGTCCATGGCTCCTGGCAGGCTGTAGGAGCTGGACTAGAAGTCAAAGAGTCGACAAAGGGATAGATGCTAGGCTGAGGGAAGAGTTGGGGGGTTGCGGGGATGGGGCGTGTGGAGGAAGGAGGGAAGGTGGAGGTCAGGAAAGGCTCAAGTTCAAGAAGAACGGAAGGAAAGGAGTGTTGAGGGTTAGAAGTCAAGGGGTCAGGAAGTTCTGGAGTTTGGAGATCAGCAGGACACGATGGCACCAGGGTTAAACACAGTCAGGGAGACAGAAGTAGCAAGACTTTGGAGTACAGGAAGCTTAAAGGGAATAGTCACTAAAGTAAGGTTGAAATAGCATGCACAAATTGATAAGGGAGGGGTGGAGGAGAGACCTATCTGTAGGAAAGGTCCTTGCTGGTCTAGAGCTCAAAGGAAGGGAGGACACAGAGGGTCCAAAGCCAGAGAGGAGAGTGAGTGACAGGCAGAGACAGAGAGACAGCAAGGGGAAACCGGGACGCTCCGCAGACCGGAGGGATCACAGAGGAAAGGGGAAAGAGGACCTCAGATCTCAGCAATTGGCCTGGGGCGCGGCGGAGATGGACCCGCTTGAACATCAGGTGGAACTCCCAGGATCCGGAACTGAGTCTCCAGGCTCGCGTCCCAACCCAGGGGCTGCTGGCGGTTGCAGCTCGGCCTGACACGGGAGCCCAGAGGAGGCCTGCAGCTGCCACTCCGAGCCAAGCGGAGAAGCTCTCTGGGAGCCCCAGGCCAATCAGCGCAGTGCCGGCTCCGGGACCAATGGGAGATGCCGGCCAGGGCCCAGCCTCCGATAACCTGGGCGGGAGCGGGGCGGGGAAGTAGCAGCGAGGTTAACTCTCCCGGCGCCGCCGCCCGTGCTCTCGGCTCTTGGGGGAGGGGCTGACAGGCTTCGCCTTATTCGTCCACGTGCGGAAGCAGAGTCCGGCTTCTTTCCTGGGAGGGTTTGGGGAATGCCACGCTCCCCGGAGACGCCGGCCTGCTACACTGACCCATCTCTAGAGGCACGCAGTTGCTAAGATCCTTGGAAGAAGAAGAAGAAGTAGAAGGGACAGGCGTTTTGGATGCGCAAGTTCCGAGGAGAATTTGGAGCGCAGTTGCTTGGGCTGCTCTCTCTCTCTCTCTCCAGCTGGCTCAGTCCAGGATGCTGGTTACGTAACTGTCCACACTGTTAGCTGGAAAGAAGAGGTGCAGTTTTAGGAAAGAAGACATTCATTTATTCTTGCATGCATGCATGCATTTACTCGTTCATTTATGCATTTACTCACGTATTCATTTATTAATTCATGCACACTTTATACATTCATTCATGCATTCATCCATTATTGTGTCGGCTATGTGCTAAACCATGCTAGCTGGGGGTGTCAAGAAGACGTCCAAAGCCAGCATAACACGCTCCCTAGCTGTGTGATCTTGGGCAAGTCAGTCTATTAAGGTCCTACTATGTGCCAGGCACTGTGGGAAGCGCACGAAAGAAGACAGTCCCTATCCTCAAAGAAAGGCAATACATTAGGAAGCTAAAAAGGGGTGTGTGTGGGAGAAGTTAGTCAGAGAACTTCCAAGTAATGCAGCCAGGTGAAGAGATGGATTGAGCTCTCTTTTAAATGGAGGTTTGCAGTTCATGACCCAACTCTCCAATCAGAGGGGCATACCATAAGTGATGAGATGGAGAACCAAGGCTGGATGAGGTTATCTCAATAATGAGCTCCTTAGGTCCAGGTGGAGAAGTCAATCAGAGAAATTCCAAAATAGTTAATCCCAGGAGAAATGAGTCATTTAATTCCTATCTGCCTCAGGTTCCTCTTCTGTAAAATAGGGAAAATAATAGCACTTACCTCACAAAGTTGTTTAGACGTCTTCCTAAACACAGTGCTAGGAGCTGGAGAGACAAAGACAAAAACAATAGAGTCCCTGTTTTCAAAGGGCTGAAATTTTACTGAGGGGATAAGACCATGTACACAAATACGTAAATGTAAATTTTGTGGATGAGAGGAGAGAAGGCTGATAACTCAGAAAAGGCTCCCAGTAGGAGATGGCACCTAAGCTGAGATGCACCTTGAAGGGAAGTTAGGGATTCCAAGAGGCAGAGGTGTTCCAGAACTGAGACAATCAGTGCAAAAGAATATGGTGTATAGGTATCAAGGCAGATGTGGAGACAAGGCAGGCTGAGCTGCCAGTCATGCAGTAAGCAGGTGGACTTAAAAAACTTGCTTTCCCTGCCTTCTTGAATGTAGTGCTTCTCCAGAAACTCCCCTTCAGCACTGTGGTTTTCCCTTTCCAAGTAACTTACTCCCCCAAAAGAAAGTGAAAAGTAAAAATGCTCCTAGGTTTGCTGTTTGCTGTCCTCACCATTTCAGAAGTGTAATTAATATGCACAGCTTATCAGCCAATGGTCAATACCACTCCATTTTGTCTAGATATTATAAATTATCTCAGACTGTATCAATAAGACAGTGTCCACTTTAAGATATCAGATGAAATTTTTCATATCCCTAGAATAAGGAGCATTCTTGCTTTCTCCCTTCACAAATATGTGAGCACTAAATAGAATATACACAGCTTAGCATTTTGTTGATCAACAACTTATCTTTTCCCTTTTAAAAATAAGGTAAATGCTTCCCAATCCCAGAAAGAAATAGAGAAAATTAGCATGAGGGAATGACTCGCATGAGGGATACATTTGATCCTCTCCAGAGATGGGAAGGGCATTTTTTAAAACTAAATTTTATTTTCCAAGTGAAGATCTCCTCTCCCTCTTACCTTCCCTGCCTCCCTCCCCAACCCAGTGAGAAAGCAAAAAAAACAAAACCTCTGTTATAAACGTGTATATTCAAGTAAAACAAATCCTAGGATTGTCCATTGCCGTACCAACACCCCCGCGCCGTGTGTCTCAATCTGCACTTGGAGTCAATCACCTTTCTATGAGGAGGAGAGTAGCATGTTTCATCATGAGTCCTCTGGAATCATGGCTGGTCATTGTGTTGATCAGAGTTCCTAAGTCTTTCAGAATCTTTACAATATTTCAACAAGTATTTATTAAGCACAAACTATTTGTCAGGCACTATGCTAAGTGCTGGAGATACAAAGAAAAACAAATACAGTCCCTGCCCTTGAGGTTATGATCGAATAAGATATAAAAGAGACGACATGCAAATAATTATATTGCAAACAAGATGTATACAGGATATATCGGAAACAATCGCAGAGGAAAGGCACCAGAATTAAGGGAGATTAGGAAAGGTTTCTTATAAGAAGGCAGGATTTTAGGTGGTACTTGAAGGGGGTTGGGAGGCAGAGATGAAGAGGGAAAGAATTCCAGGCATAGGCTTTGCACAGGAGTCTAGAGATGGAATATCTCATCTGAGTGAACAGCAGGGAGGCCAATGTTGGACTTCAGATAGGAGAAAGGTTTATCAAAGATGGCTGGAAAGGTAGGAAGGGGTCAAGTTATGAAAGGCTTTGAACACCAAATAGATATTTGATCCTAGAGGTAATAGAAGAGTCACTAGTCTTCAGCCCAAGTTAGGGAAGTAGTGAGAAATTTGTCCAGAATGTAGCTCATGCTCGTGTTGTCCTCACTTCCCAGGTGTTTATTTTGTCCTCTTTTCTATTTGTTTCTCTGTGTTTACTTTCTTATTTCTTTAGAAGCCCCTTCCCAAGGTTAGGTTTATGACCCTAAGCAAGTCTTAACTTTCCTTAGTCTCAGTTTTCATTTTTTTTCCCCCCAGTAAAATGTCAGCTAATTGGATAAGGGGTGTGTGAGAAAGAGAACAGTCAAGGAAAATGGTGAGGTTTAATAAAACAGGGTTACTAAACTGGCGGATCAGGGGAATGTTGCAGATGGAGTTTAGGGTCTCCCTACCAACCTTAAAAAAATGTTTTTAAAATACATTTTATTGATACCTTTTGTTATAATCATTTTCCACTCACTCACTCCAGATCCAGTCTTTCTTGTAACAAGGGAAAACAATTAATTACAAAATCCAGTACAGAGACCAAGCCTGACAATGTATATGTGGTTCACCCTTTGGAGCACCACCAACAAAGATTGGACTGGATCGAGGGGAGATAGGCATGGCCATCATCAGGCAGGGAGGCTTCCCATTGCTCTCTGATCATCTGGAGATTTCAAACTCTACCTGAGGGCAAACTACCCAGAGGTCCTGGGACCTGAAACTTGGCATGGTGCCTGTCTTGAAAAGGACTTGTGGAAGGAAATGGAAGCCAAGATAAACAAGCACCAAGATTGGCATTTACTTATGAGAATTTTGTAAAATGATATTTGTTTGTTAAAATTATATAACTAAGTATTGTTATTTAGGGGATCAGTGTAACCTCCAGTCCCACCAGCTATGGCAGGAAGAATGTTAATTTCTGGATCATTTAAGGACTGTGCCACATGGGCTTTTTTACATTTTTATTTAGAACACTCAAAAAGGAGCATTTTTATTCATATGGAAATCAAAAAGAGTATTTTATATGAAACTGTGACTCTCCGTTTCACATTGTTTGCTTTTTAAAAAATAGTATATGATAAATACTACACATTACTTTAAAAACTGCTCTTCTGTGCTTCCTTCTGAACTTCCTTCTGTTTTCAATGTTTTCAAATGTTTCTCTTTTTTCAAATTCAATGACCCTCTTTTCTTTGGCATCACTATTGCTAATCTCTTTTTCTTTCTGACTGCTTTCTCTCCTCCCATCCCCACCCCCCAAAAAGGGGGGTGAAACCTCTTGTAACAAATAAACATTGTCAAGCCAAATGCATTCATATAGTGTCCATGTCCAAATATGTATGTCTCTACTTGTGTCCATCAATTCTCTGTCAAGAAATGATAACATGTTTCATCCATAGGTCCTCTGGAGAAGTGGTTGGTCTCCATTAATCAGAGTTCTTAAGTCTTTTAAAATTGTTTTACTTTACAATGTTGTTGACTTTGTATACATTGTTCTCCTAGTTCTGATCACTTCACTCTCTATCAGTCCATACTACTTAGGATTCTTTGAAATCATCTTTTTTGTCATTTCATTATATTCACATATGACAATTTGTTCTGACATTCCCCAGTTGTTTAAGAGGCAATCCAAGGCACCTATTTAGCTTTTAGTTATTTTCTTATCCTCCTTCCCCTTTGAAATCTCTTTTTAGGTTCAGAAAGTTTGTAATTATTCCCTTCATTGTATTTTACTCTCTATTAATCTACTTGTTTCACTGTTAAGTTTGATATATTTCTTTCTTAATTTAAAAAAAAGTAATATTTTCCCCCAATTACATGTAAAAACAAATTTTAACATTTGTTTTTAAAATTTTTGAGTTTCAAATTCTTTCTCTCCCCCCGCCCCGTTGAGAAGACAAGCAATTTGATATAGGTTATACATGTGCAGTCATTGGAAACATATTTCCATATTAGTGATGTTGTAAAAGAAAACATAGACAAAAAGAAAACCTGAGAAAAGTAAAGAAAAAGTATGCTTCAATCTGCATTCAGACTTTCAGACTCCATCAATTCTTTCTCTGGAAATGGATAGCATTTTTCATCATAAGTCTTTCAGAAGTGTCTTGGATCATTGTATTACTGAGAATAGCTGCCATTCACAGTTGATCATCATACAATATTGCTGTTATTGTGTACGATGTTCTTCTGGTTCTGCTCACTTCACTTTGCATTAGTTAATGTAAGTCTTTCCAGGTTTTT